TAGTTCTGGCAGAGAGCACAGCAGCAAGATGTATAAGCGAAGCGGCAAGAGCTCTCCAACTGATCAATACCCAGAAGAGTTTCAAACCAGAAGCCTAGCAGGGAAAGCCATAACTTCCAACACCTCCATGACTCAGTTGTAACTGCAGCTCCAGTGACTCAACGGGAAGTTCTATTACCAACTCCATCCAAATACCACTAACACACTGGTTCCCATCCAGCAAAGCAAGCCTCACTGGTGAGACTGGTCTCAGCAGCGAGATACAAACATTACAGTCAAACATGGCAAAGAGCCCAAGCTAACAGACTCTGTTGGACCCATGCCGGTTCCACAAGACCCAGAACGTTGACTGCAGCCAAGCGCTCCTTGAGAAACTGAGAGGTTGGGAAACCACCACATTAGCAGATGTTGCTCCACAAGAGCTGCTTGTAGGAGGTCCAAATGTTATCTTACCTTGAGGTAAGGCTTCACAGTGCAGTAACTTCTCCACTAGCATCTCCACAGTAGAAAGTGCACTATCCCGGGTTTCTAGCTCATCTCTGCGGTACACCAGTAGCCTAGCAGAGCAGTAGTTCAAATGAAGTACACTAGTCAACTCTAACATAGAGACCTGTTAACAGAATTGACACTCAGCAGTCCTAAGGAGACACCACATGCTCTCTGCATTTTAGAGTATCTTCTCAGCTCAGAAGAGAAGAAGTAAACCTATAAGAAACACAAGAAGTGCTTGCGCTGTTGGTCAAAACAACCTCCACTTCGCAAGTTCACTGCCTGTATCAAAAGTTTAGGGAGTAACAAAGGTTCCTCACTTCTAATCCACAAATAAACAGTGCCTTTAAATACCAAAATGCTCTGATGCCTCCTCAACAGCTCACAATCCCCTCCCCACCCCAGAATACATCCACTTACGTTTCTGCTCATATTCCTCACTTCAGAACGCTGATACAAGACCCAACTGTACTCCCCAGTGTATTCCACAGCCTTTAGCAGAGACTACAGTGTTGTTTGGAGGCACTATTACAGGAAAGAGGTGCTGTTGTAGCTGAAAGCTGATGTTTCCCACTACTTCGCTAGTTCTCTTGGCACAGAAACAGCACCTGACCAGTCTGTTTACGGAGTTACCATAAAAGTTTCACAAATAAAAAGACTGTCACTTTGAGCCAAATTGCTCTCAGATAAAGACACTGAAATAAAGGTGCCTATGCTCCCCTTATAGGCAAAATGAGATCTAGTCAACAAAGCCCCGACAAAGCAACTCACCTTGAAGCAGACATGCAGGGGCTGGTCAGATAATCGCTCTCCTTGGCTCCACTGATTATATCGCCATGACTATAATGAGAGCTTAGGCACCGAGCGCAGACACCTACATTTAGGTGCCTTGACATCAACTGAACATTGTCCCGAGGGACTAGTGCCATTTGAAGTACCCTGTGTCTGTGTCTCAGCAAGTACATCAATTTCCAGCTGTCCTGGAGTGCTGTATTGACAGTTCTGAGTTACAAACAGTAGAAGACCTCGAAGACTAACGCTGCAATCCTGAAGCACTGCAATTTTATCACTGATGGCACCTCCTCAGGAAAGGGGTCCTATCTTCTTTCTCCAAAGCAGCAACCTCCTCCCTCTAGCAGGCCCTACTAAAATCACAGCTCCTTAAGTGCCAGTTGATACAAACAAGTATGGAATGTCCCTCTCAGAGGCACTAGTACGGTTCTCAGACACAAGAACCACTTCAAACAAGGTTAGGACGAAATGCTACTATATAGGCCACCTGGAGACACCTAACCACTAGCAATGCAAAACAGATACTTAAAATGGACCAATTTTGCTGCTAAAACAGCAGCCTACATTTCAGGTTAGTGCACTAGCTTAATTTTAGAAGGCTTACAGGTTTCTTGCACTTGCTGTAACTTGTCTCGGGTTGTTAGGAGAGGATTGTTTGGTTTCCAGAAGTTTCAGAGTACTGCCATTAAAAATGTTAGCTCCTCTAGCCACGTGAAACCAATAGAAACCTGGAATAAAAGACTACAACGCTGCACGAGACCCAGCCCCCACTTACAGAATATAAACCACCTCTTATTGGTCTCTGCTCTAATCAGAGTTGACCAGGTACAGTAGTCACCATTTTACTGGGAGGCAGCCACCAGCAACTGAGTGTTCAGGTGGAGAAGTGCTGTTTATAGTGCTTGATAAATAATGTGACACTGCTCTGCATGTTCTATAGAAGTGTTTCCTCCTTATCCACTGCCTACATGTTTAATAAGCGAGCTGGACTACCTAATTTCTTCTAATTAGTTTACATTCAGATAGGAATGACATCACTCTTGGAAAAAGGTTCTGCCTGCTCTGCTAAACTCCTGTTAACTGCCAGCATGCACCTATACCAGATGAAACAATCAAACCCCTGTTTTCCCTCATGATACAGGCTGGATTGACCACCACCCTCCTGCAGCAGGCTACACACCTTGGCTCAGTTGGCTTCATGGCAGGGTTATACCATGTAACAGTTTACAATTGAGGGAATAACTAGGAAAATCCATTAACATGCATCAGCCTTCTTATTTCAAGGGAATCAATACCCCCATCATAACAACAGAGGGCAATTACTCTCATACAGGTGTTTTAAGCAACGAAGTGTCACCTTGAAGAACAGGAACCTCCCCAACCAGTCCTCCAGGTAAGAGCACTCAGAACACAGCTATCGTTTGGCCACTTTTTTTGTGCCTGCTTATTACTTCTGCGACAATATGCACGGACAAGGCAAGCCATGCAGCAATGAGCCAGGGCTGAAGCGATGTACCAGCAGCAGTGGCACGCTTTCCAACCACCAGGCCACCGAGAACCCAAGACAACCATGCCAGTGCCCGCAGCACTGCGCCCCGGTGCATGCACACAATAGGAGGAGTTATCCCCCGTGTACCTCAGCGCTGAATAAACATACCTACTTTACAATCTATCAGATTGTGGAGTCTATTTCCGCACGTCAAGGCCCCTCCGCTTTCTGTGCCCAACACGAGAGGGTCTCTGCCACTTGACGCAAAAGCGTAATTACTGCAGGCGGGAGGGAAAGGCAGCTCAGTCCCTGTCACTGCCATTTCAAACGTGGGAAAAAGGCCACGTGAGCACCAGAAGGGAAACGGCCTCAGCGCTGAATCGCCACGGAGAGCCCCGAGATCTGCTGCTCCCCCGTGTGTTCACCCAGGAAACCCCTCGCTCTGAAGCCTCACCCAGGCCTGCGTGTCTCTTACGCACAGGAAAACTCCAGATGAGCATTGACTTCGCGTCCTTATTTCTAGTAAGGAATATTTACCACAGGGGAATTTTATCCAAATGCACTACAGAGGCTGCAAATTAACTGTTTTTTTTCCACTTTATCCAGTAGAAAGCTTATTGAGAAGCTATGAGCAGAGCCCTCTTCCCCACGAAACAGGGGGGGTTACGCTCACGCGCTTGTCATTTTTAGCCATCTCGAAACTACTCGCTACCATGTGGGCTAGAAGGGCACGTGTCCAGATCTACAGGTAGAGTTCACAGACGGAACGGTACAGCAAAACGAGAGGTATTTTGAGCAGCTTAGACCCTGCCCTGCACTTTGTTCTGCCGCTCCTTACCCAACTGCTGCTGTCGTTCACCTCTAGACAACTTTCAAATCAATTAATCCCTTTCAGAAAGAAAAAAAAAAAAAAACCCACGCCAGTTTTGACTCTGACGGTCCTGCCTGCTCACACAGACCCTCCCGTTCCACTTTTTTTCCCCTCTAACTCATCCAAAGAGAGGAGACTCCACCAGCGAGGCGCACGCACGCGGGGAGTGAGCGATGGCAACCCACGCGTTGTGCCCCCCGAGAGGTGGCCGCGAAGCCTCCTCGCCCACCCCACGCAGAGATCAGGGGAAGACGGAGAGACCCCCACCCCCCCCACCCCCCCCCCCCCACAGACCCGGAGCGCCGCGCAAAGCGCTTTTCCAAGGCGGCGGGGCCAGGTTTCTGTGGAAGGGCCCCTGCAGAGGCAGGGAGCAGGGGCAGAGCCATCCTCTGCCCACGGATGACATCTGGCGGCTGCTGCCGCCGGGAAGCGGAGCTGCCCGGGGCCGAAATGCTGCCCGCAGCCCTGCGGAGCCTCTCCCCCCCCCCCCCCCCCCCCACGGGAGAGCTTCTCCCCAGCCACCCGGGTTTTGAGCAGCGAGCCCCACCGCCGGGGCGTCCCCGCGTTCAGGCGGGCACGGCAGCAGCGAGCGCGGAGCCGGGGGGCACCGGGGGGCACCGGGGGGGGACGGAGCCCCGGGGGTGTTGGGGGGGGGGGCAGCAGGGCGGGTTTCCCAGGGCTGCTGCCGAGCCCGGGCATCGGGGGCGCAGGAGTGGAGCGCCGGGGTTTTTTGGTTTGCTGGGCTGAAATAAAAGGCGCCCGGGCGTACCCGCTGCCGGCCAAGCTCTCCGTGCACAAAGGCGGCCGGGGAGCAGACGACGCCGAGGTCCCTCCGGGGCCGGGTCGTGCCAGGTTGAGCGCCCCCCGTGTCAGCAGTCACCCGTGACCGCGGAGCGGAGCTCCCCGGCCACAGCCACAAAGGGCCACATGCGCCCACTCGCCCAAACTTACCGGCTCACGCCGGAGGGAAGCCGTGAGCATCACACACCCCCCCCCCCCTTCCCTCCCCAGCCCCCGGCCCCTTTCCGGGGGGCGCTGAGGGGCTCCCGCGCCCCGGCGGGGGGTCAGCGGGCAGCGCCGCCCGCCCCGGGGCGGAGCCGCCGGCAGGTCGGGAGCAGCAGCAGCGGGTCTGGTTTGAATTAAAGCTGCCGGGGCCGGAGCCCCCCGCCAGCACAAAAGGCCACCGAACCCCTCCTGCCAGGGCAACGCACCGTTCCCCTGCGAGACCCTGGCGGGTGGGGGGAGCCGGGTGTCTCACGGGCCCCCCCCACCCCCCCCCCCCGTCCTACCCCACCCCGGCCCCACCGCCCCACGTGCGCCGCCCCCCCCCCCCCCCCCCCCCACTCGCGGCGGGCTCACCGGGACGGCAGCGTGGAAGCAAAGGGCCACCAGCCACACGGCCACCACACGGTCCATCATCCTTCCTCCTCGCCGGGCCTCGGGAGCGAACAGCCTGCCCCTTCTCCCCGCGGTCCCCTCCGCCGCGCTCCGCTTCGTAGTCTTTTAAGTTGCTGCGGGTTTTCTCCCCTTTTTCTATATTATTTTTTTTTTTCTTTCTTTCTTTTATTTTTCCTCTTCCCCCACTTCTCAAGCCGCCCAACCAGCCTCCCAGCAGCGCTCTGCGGCGACGAGGAGTTGAACTCTGTCTTTTAATGAACCCACTGCAACAACCTTCACCTTACGGCCACCCCCCCCCCCGGCCGGCTCCGCCCCCGCTCCCCTCCCCTCCGCTCCGCTCCCCCCCCGCCTGCCCCGGCCCGGCCCGGCCCGGCCCGCCCTGCCCCACCGCCCGCCCCACCGCCCGCCCCACCGCCCGGCCCCACCGCCCGCCCCCGCGCTACCTGCGCCGCCGCGCCGGGACCCCCCCGCTCCCCCGGCGCCGCCAGCCCCTCATCGCAGTCCCAGATTTCCTCTGCGGCAGCGGCGTTGCTCCCGCCGAGCTTCCTTCCTTCTCGCTAAAAATAATAATAATTATTAATAATAACAACAACGTCAAAAGCCCTCCCTTCCCGATCCAGTGTGGGAAAATCACGGGGGTGCGCTGCCTTCTCCCCTTCCCCCGGGGCGGGGAGGCCCCGCTCCCGGGACGGCCCGTCTGCGCCGAGGCTCCTGATCTCCAGCGGGGTTTTCTCCCCGAAAAAATTGTTTTTTTTTTTTTTTGGGGGGGGGGGAGGCCCTTCCTCCTGTCTGCGGATGCCCAGGTCTGGCCCTGCCCTTCATCGCATCCGATTTTTGTGCTGCTCGGGTCAGGTTTTCTGGCAGCGGAAAACGCTGCGAGAGGTTTGTGGCAAAAAAACTCTGCTGCTATAAAAGAAGTGCCCTCCCGCAAGTTACCCCACCTTCTTGGGTCAAAAGCAACTTTAGCACTCTTCGGGGTTGCTACGAGTTGGTCTCTGCACATCTCACCGTAGATAGCAAAATCGAGGCAGGCAACCATCCCACAAAAAATACACCACAGGCTGAATTTTATTACCCTGCTTACAGGGTCAGGGCTGGAGTTCCTGTTTGCTTCCAATCAATTCAGTTGTTTGTTGTTTTTTTTTTTTTTTTTTTTTTTAATTCTTCTGCTGTGTGTGTGCCAGCACATGTTGAAGTGTTTGCTATAAACAATGCAACTGAATGTATGTGCAAATATCATTTCTTTTATTTTTTTTTTTTTTTTTTAAGAATCAAAACTGCTGCTTGGAGCGGCGGGAGCGCTCACGGGCCGCGTGGCCGACAGGCACCGCGTGTTGGCGGAGGGGCTGGGTGGGTGAGGGTTGTGGCCAAGCCTGCGGGCACGGGGCTGTGCTGCCCTGGGACTGCTCGTGGCGGGGGGTACCCAAAAAAAGGGCCATAACCGGTGCTTCTTGGTCACTCAGGAGGAGGCTCTTGGTGGGTGTTGACCCACCTCTGACAGACCCAGGATTCCCTCCCACAGCTGCGCCCCAAAGGCTTAATAGACCTAATTGGATATTCAGTGTGGCTAAAACTGTTGTGATTTTATCACGTCTTTAATTAGCTTGCTTTCTTTCCCTCTCTTAAATTACTCATGCAGCCTTCCTAGGAAGGATTCCTACCACGACACCTTTCCCTCAGACGAGCCATGGCCACCACGGTCTCCCCACAATGGGGCTGGGGGGGGAGAAGATGGCACCCATGGGGCTCCCCACAGCCAAGGTGGCCGGTGGCACGTGAGGCAGCTGGGTGGAACGGTGGGGAGGGGTGGGGAAAGGGGACAGACAAAAAGTCATAGAGGCACGGGGGTGCTTGGTGGGTGGCTGTGCCGGAGCAGCAGCTCCCGGGTGGGAGAGCAGCCTGCTGCTGCTGAGGGATGGGGGGAGAGCAGCCTTTCCCAGCCATGTCTTGAACACGATGCAGCCAGAAGATTGGAGATGAGACCTTTGGGATGGGGCTTCGGATAGAGGTGCTTGGTGCTGGGGCCTGCAGAGCGTGAGGCTGAAAATATCACCTGGGCTTGGTGGGCAGGTTGTGACGTCCAGCAGCAGTGGCATCACTGGGAACTGGGAAATGCACACCGGGCACGGTCGGTCAGCCAACCTTCTCGGCTGATTTTGGTGTGGGCAGAGGCTGGTTTGGCCAAGGCTGCATCCGATGGACGCCGGCAGCCACAGAGGAGAGAGGAAACACTTCCACAGGGAACTCGTCCGCTCCTGGGAGCAGTGGCAGGGCACCGGTGCGGTTGTGCAATATATGGTTTTCATGCCAGTGTGGGCGCATGTGTGTTGGGGGAGATGGCGGATCAAATGGCGCTGTGGTACTTCTCACTGGATTTGCTAGAAAACATTTAGAGCTTGATGGGGATGTTCTGGTCAGGATCTGTGAATGGGGTAAGGGAAGAACAATGCTGCGTTTGGAAGCCAAGTGTTTTCAGTGACATTCCCGTGCCCTCTGCTTGATCATTGAAGCATGCTAAGTATTGTGGTTTGAGTCAAAAGAGCTCCATGCTGAAAAGCCAGATGAGACTTGTATGGAAAGGAGTTTCTTGGCAGCCCGGAGCTCAGGGGATGATAGGAGTTGGTTGCCTCTGCCCAGTACAGTGGAGCTGCGGGGATTTCCCAGAACTGGATCAAGGGCTTCCAGCAGCGTAGCCCAATTGAACTCAGCCCCCCTGGGGATAAGGGGCTGGTTTGAGCTGTGTCCTGCCATGGGAAGAGGGGAAACACAGCCTGGGGAGGAATCCAGCCCGCTGCTTCCGCCACCAGCAGAGGCGAGGGGGGGAGCAGGGATGGCAGCTCTTGCTTTTGGGTAACCGCCACCATTCTTCACTGCGTTCTGCAGCAGAAGCCATCATTCTTTATCCCCTGATGGATGTGAGCATCATGCAGCAGCAGGAGCTGCCTGCCTGGCTTTCCAGTTGTGGGACCTACCCACAGTCGTGTGTGAGGATGTGGCCACCGTCACCGTGTGTCCTCACCTCGTATTTTCCCACCAGCAGCAGTAGAGCCTGCAGAGCAGATGACTGCCTCTTCTCCTGAAATCGGGTGCCGTGTGTCCTTAGATGGTTTATTAATGGACTGTGACCAGATGGGGTGGGGTTAGAAAAAGCTGATTCTGTTCTGAGGTCCTTAACACAAGCTGGATCGTACCTGTGGCATCAAGCTGGGCCGGTTCACGCATCACATCTCAGTGACTTTGTCTGTTGACAAACTTGTTTGAGGATGTTACAGCCTGACACGTCAGGGTGGAGAAGGGGAGAATATTCCCTGATACACAGCGGGAGGTTAGAGTATATGCAAATATTGAGATTGCTTTGAGTGTACAGGCAGTTGCCTGCCTGCTGGGGTTGTGGAGTTGACGGCTCACTGCTAATGGGTACGATCTCTGGCTGGCTTTAGATAGCTGGCTTTTCTCCTGATGACTGCTGTTTTCTCAGTTGTTGCTTTTGTGCCAGAGAGAGAACTTTTTTGTTTTGTTTAGTTGTGGGTTTTGTTTTTTTTTTTTTTTTTTCCTCCTATTAAGTAGCTCACTTAACTAAACGGGGCTTATAAGAACGGGAAACCCCACAGCTTCTCACGCCTTTCACTTCTCGGCTCTAACGTGTAGACGAGGCTTTGAATGAACACCCTGAATCTGTGTGGTGATTGCTGAACAGGACAGATGAAAGAGGATGCCTTCCGATGCATGGGGGCAGTTACAGGATGGTAAATGCGTTTAGTTAAATGCATTCACATTGAGTCTGCCTCAGAAACTGGTTGGAGTGAGGTGGGAGATGCACCCAAAATAAGTGATGGTGTCTGGTAAGGGCCTGAAGTGCTGTCACTGACATTCCCTTCGGCATCTGGGTTTTTCCCGTGGATGGTGCCTCAGAATGGTGAGCTGGCAATGAGAATTCTTGATCAGTGACCTAAAACCTGGGGATGGAAGAGGAAGGATTGTTTGTCCTGAGGGGGCCAGGAGGAGACTGGGACAATGTGGCTGGCGCAGAGGCCGGGAAGGCTTGCAGAGTTTCATTCCCTGCCTGTCTGGACCTTCTCTACACCTTCCTTTCCCTTTAAAGTCCCTCTGGCCAGTGCCTCTGTTACCCATGGCTCACATGACATCCTCCTCCTAACTCCATGCAGTAACAAAAGAGCAATCTGCCCATTCCTTAAATCAATACTGAGTGTAAGGACAAGTCTGCAGAGGAAATGGGCTGGACCTTCAACCCTGGGTTACCAAAGCTTGTCTGCCAGCGTCCAACATTTGGCATCCAGTCATTGTTCTGGCTTATCCTCTGGGAGCCCAGACACGGCAGTCCCCCATTCCCAAGACCATCAGTCTTTGCTCAGGGTGGTGGCACTGAATACATTTAACTCTCTTCCCTCCTCCTCTCATGCCTTGGCAAATCCTGTGCAGTTTGGTTTGGCTGTCCTTTTGCACTGGTGTAGAAATAATTGATTCTGACCCTTGCAAATGCCAACGGTGATTTATAGCAGGATCACCTGAACCCACCCAGTACGCTTGCACAGTGATATCTGATTTTGCTTGTTCTGTCCGGCCGCCTTTGCAGTGAGTCAGACATCTCTGAGCAACTCCATCTGCCTCCTGGCTCTCACTCCCAGGAAGTGAGAGACGGAAGGAGGCTCCCCCCTGGCCCACACCAAGGCGTGGAGTGTGAAGTTAGCCTGCGGGGATGTCTGCTCTGATCTCCTTTCTTCTCCCCCATGTAATGCTCTGATGGAAGGGATGACCTTGCTTATTCAGACAAGAACAAGCCTTTTTGCAAAAAAGCCAAGGTTTTGGTGTTTTGTTTTTTTTTTTTTTTTCCAACTTAAACAATGCAGTGTTTAATGGTCCAAGTGTCAGCGTAGCTGCAGTGTTGGCTTTATAGATACCAAGTGAATCAACTTGGCTGCCCCTCCCAAGAATTCGGTGGCTTTTTTGCTTCCCCTCCATTCCCTTTCCCTGTGTCCTGCTAATGAGAACCTCTGGGTGGACACTGAAAACTATATATAAATGTGTCTCTGCCACTAATCAAATATTTCTCAACCTAATTTAGCAGAGCTTCCTTTGGCAAAAGCCCAGCTGGCAGTGGCATGCCACTTTTGTGATAGTTTTCATAAACAGCTGTAATAAAAACAGCTGCATTTCTTTGATGCTTCATGTGAGGGCCTTGTAGGATGCTGCATGCTCATTACAGAGAGCCTCAGAACTGGATTTCGGGGGCTGGCGCATCCAAA